TGCTCCTAAATTATTTACAGTTATGAACACCTAAATGACAATATAAGAATGGCCATACTCAGTCAGACCAGTGGTCCATCTAGCCCAGTATCCTGTCTTCTAACAGTGGCCAGTGACAAATGCTTCAGAGGGAATTAACATAACAGAGCAATTAGAGAGTGATATAGTGCTGTTGTCCAGTCCTAGTTTCTAGTAGTCAGATGTTTACAGACACCCAGAGTATGGGGTTGCTTCCCTAACCATCTTGACTTTGAGTCATTGATGGACCTATCTATCCTCCAGGAACTTATAAAATTCTTTTTTTAAATTCAGTTATAATTTTGGCCTTCACAATATCCCCCTGGCAATGAGTTCTACAGGTTGACTGTGCATTGTGTGAAGAAGTACTTCCTTCTGTTTGTTTTAAACCTGCTGCCTATTAATTTCATTGGGTGACCCCTGTTCTTGTGGTATATGAAGGGGTAAATAACACTTTCTGATTCCATTTCTCCACACCATTCATGATTTTATAGACCTCTAATATCGCCCCTTAGTTGTCTCTTTTGGAAGCTGAACAGTCCCAGTCTTTTTTAATCTCCCCTTTATGGAAGTTGCTGCATACTCCTTATCAATTTTGTTGCCATTCTTTGTACCTTTTCCAATTCTAATATCTCTTTTTTGGGGATGAGACAACCAGAATGACATGCAGTATTCAAGCTGAGAGCGTACCATGGATTTATATAGTGGCATTAGTATATTTTCTGTCTTCTTATCTATCCCTTTCCTAATGGTTACATGTTAGGTTTTTTTACTGTTACTGCACAATGAACAAATGTTTTTAAAGAACTATCCACAATGACTCCAAGATCTCTTTTTTGAGTGGTAACAGCTAATGTAGACCACATCATTTGTATGTATATTTGGGATTATGTTTTCCAATATGCATTACTTTGTACTTATTAACATTGAATTTCATCTGGCATTGTGTTGCCCAGTCGCCCAGTTTTGTGAGATTCCTTTGTAACTCTTCACAGTCAGCTTTGGACTTAACTCTCTTGTAGCATATGCAAACTTTGCCATCTCATTGTTTACCCCTTTTTACAGATATGAATATGCTGAACATCACAGGTCCCAGTACAGACCCTGCTATTTACCTCTCTCCACTGTGAAAACTGACCATTTATTCCTACCCTTTCCTAGCATTTAACCAGTTACTGCTCCATGACAGGACCTTCCCTCTTATTCCATGACTGCTTACTTTGCTTAAAAGCCTTTGGTGTGGGACCTTGTCAAAGGTTTTCTGAAAGTCCAAGTATACTATATAAGCAGGATCACCCTTGTCCACGTTTGTTGTTGTTCTCAAAGAATTCTAATAGATTGGTGAGGCATGATTTCCCTTTACAAAAGCCATGTTGACTCTACTCCAACATATCTTGTTCATCAATGTGTAAATTGTAAAAGATATTGATCAATTGGAGGAAGTTCAGAGAAGAGTCGCAAAAATGATTAGTGGGCTCAGAAGGACTGATGTATAAGGAAAGATTAAAAGAAAAATATATGGTATGAGGCTTGGCTAACTGATGATTTAGGGAGACCACAATAATTTCTACAAGTATATGAAGGAAGTAAATACTAGGAAGAAAGAGAAATTACAGACAGGGACAAAATTAGGAGTAATGAGACATAAGTACACTTGGCAGAATTTGATTTGCATGTTTTTATATAATTTTGACAGGAAATAGCAATGTTTATTTTTAAACTTTTTTTCAATTTTTATCAATTTAGATTGTCACAGTTGCACAACATTATAAGCTTTAACCATTCTTATTGATTTACATATGTTTAAATTTAGATTTTCACAGTTGCAGGAAATTATGGGGGTAGGGTGATCAGTTATTTAGTAGCAGACATTGAGATTCATAAAGTTAAAACTTTATAACAGTTAAAACACACAATATCAACCTCATATGTCAAAACACACAAATATCCTTAAATCAAATTCCAATAAGTTCTCAAGCAACATTTTACTTCCTTTGCCTTGCCTCTCTATAAATTTTGATTATTACTAATGGAAATATTTTTTTCATCATTTTGTGTGAGTATGGTGAAATCAGTATTTACCAACAAAAATTTAATCTTTCCAAGCCTAGACATAAGGCCTGATCCCATAAGCTATGCTGCATGCAGAACACTACTGAAATCAAATTAATTAAGGGAAAGTTTAGGTTGAATATTGGGAGAAACTTTTCTGCCCAGATCTGTTAAATAGACTTCCAAGAGAAACAGTGGCAATCCCATGCTATAAGAATTTTAAAACCTTGATTGGACAGAAAAGGTTCTAAAGCAATCCAGTACTAGGACCAAATAGGTTTTGTCCTTTGGAATGTCTATGCTTCATATTAAATAACATTTTATTTATATCTGAAGGCACTAAATGGTTAATGACATTCCATATAGGATTAAGAGGATATTGGCTATTTTAATTCCATAGGAAATATCTCTCTGACATAAGTAACGTTTTTCTCAGCCTGTGGCTGAGCACCAGAAGGGGGATATTAAGCTCTGTGAGTATATCATCCCAGAATTCTACAGAACTGCTTTATCCAACCTCATCATACTGCTTGCGTTTTCTTTGGAAATAGAAAAATTATACAAAAATTAAAGGTTTCTTTCCTTTTTCTCATTTGATTCCCACAACAGCACTACCTTACTTTGCAGTCTCCACAGGCACATTCTCTGGGCACAAGACAGAGAACATGCATTACCTGATGTTTGCTGACTTCATGAATCCTAAGGTCACTGAGGTTGGAAGTTTTGGTTACGTATAATTAAACAGGTGACTTCTGGCATACAACAGCTCTGTGCGTAACTGCACAATGCAGCCCTCATTCTTTCACACGGTTTGTAGAATAATTCCTTTGAAATTGAGTGCTCCTGTCATTCCTGTGAAATATACCATGAATTCAAAACAGCCAAAGTTAACCACCAGCTACACTGCGCTGGATGGCTGATCTTCCATTGACGATACTAGAATGACAAGAGCATACTCTATTTTTCTAGGTTAGTGCTCACTCCGAATACAAAATTATTTAAAAAAAAAAGTCAAACAAATATTAATGTTGCAAAGTCAAGCACTTAAAAGTTCAGAAATTCCACAAATAAGACTGCCTGTGCAGCCTTAATTCAGCCTCCTTGTGCTTATGCTGTATGATAGTCCATAGTCACATGATCCCATGCTATTTTTTTCCATAAGACCCCTGCCTCATTCAGAAACTTGATTAGTTATTAAATATTCCTCCTTTTCTCTTCTCATTCAGTGTGTGTCCTGAGATGTTGTTTAAAACACATAATCCAAAGCCTGCTCTAAATATAAAACTGTTAATTTCCTCTTGAGTATCTGAAGGCTTCACAAACGTTAATTAATCTTCACAACACTCCAGTGAGTATAAGTGGTATTACTATTCCCATTTTACTTATGGGAAACTGAAGGTCAGAGAGACTAAGGCCACAACTGTCAGGTATCTACTAATTTTAGAAGCCCAGCTTAAGATATGTAGATCTTGATTTTTTTTTTCAGAGTTCTTGGCATTTTTATACTTGATATAAGAACGGCCATACTGAGTCAGACCAAAAGTCCATCTAGCCCAGTATCCTGTCTTCCGACAGTGGCCAATGCCAGGTGCTTCAGAGGGAATGAACAGAACAGGTAATCATCAAGTGATCCATCCTATTGTCCATTCCCAGCTTCTGGCAAACAGAGGCTAGGGACACTATCCCTGCCTATCCTGGCTAATAGCCACTGATAGACCTATCGTCCATGAATTTATCTAGCTCTTTTTTGAACACTGTTATCGTCTTGGCCTTCACAACATCCTCTGGCAAAGAGTTCCACAGACTGACTGTGCCTTGTGTGAAAAAATAGCCCAACCCCCAGCCCTGAGCCCCCTCCTGGAGCCAGCACCCTGAACCCACTCCTGCACCTCAAGCCCCAGCCCGACCTCCCTCCCTGAGCCAGCACCCCATACCCCCTCCTGCACCGCAGTGCCCTGACCCAACCCTGATCCCACTCCCAGAGCCAGCATCCTGTACCCCCTCCTGCACCCCAACACTCTGCCCCAGCCCGGACCCCCTCCTGCCCCAAAACTTCCTCCCAGAGCTTGGACCCATAGGCACCACCTTCTCCTGGTGCCGGTGGGTGCTCAACCCCCACACCTCTGACTCTTTGGGGAAGGGGCGGGATATATCCTGGGTTGCCCTTAAATTCAAAAAGTGATTTTGGGCATGAAGAGGCTGGAGCAGACCCTCCCTGGAGCAGGCACAGGAACTACCCCTCCCCTTCTCTCCAGCATTTTCTCTTCCTGGGTCCAGGAAGCCCTAGAGTTTAAAAAAAATAATAATAATAATAATTCAGGGTCGCAGTGACCAATAGGAGGCCACCCGAATGCTGCCTCCAATAGGGGCTAACGATGGGCCGGTGTTGCTAGGTAGAATAGAGACCTTTTTCCCAATCCTCAGCTTTTCCGAGCCCAGCGTCCACTTAGAAAACTCTGAAAAGGAGATGGGCGGGACAAAATAAGAAAAAGGGCAGGCATTCCGAACACGATAGCCAATCGAAAGGAACTGGGAACACTGATTGGCTGTTCCGAATAAAGTGACACGGCCCAGCTCCAATCGGGTTGTCCGGGGCTGCGGAAGGCGGCGCGAAGTTTGAATCGGCGAGAGGGGGCGACGAACACACACCGGGGAAGCGGGGCGGGGGCGTCTTGTCATGGAGGAGCTGGAAGAGAGGCTGCGCCGCAGCAACGCGCGCTTCGTGGACTCCCTGCAGCGGATCATCGAGAAGGTGAGGCTGGGGGCGGGGCTTCGTCACCGTACCCCCCCCGGTCGTTATGCCGGGGTGACTCCGCCCCCCGGCTCCGGTAACGGCCCGGCCGGGAGTCGCGCGGCCCAGGCCCCCGGGGCGGCGCTACGCGCAGCTCGCGCGGGGGTCGCAGGGCTCCGACGCGCCGCCCGTGGCTGCTCAGGGCGGCCCGGCCGCTGACGCGGCTCCCCGCGCGGGCACAGTCCGGAGGCCCCGCTGCCCTCCCTGCAACCGCAACCAGCCGCCCGGGCTGGCGGCGTTTGGCGGGCCGGGCGCTCACTCGCCTCAGACCTTTCAGGCGCCGCTTTCCCGCGCGGACGGTGCGCACCGTGAGCTGTCGCCCGTCACTTCAGTAGCCCGGGACTGGGGTCACTTTGCAAAGGCGCTGCTGCGCCCCCAGCGGCGCCCCCGCCCGGGGACATCGGGGGCCTTTTGCTCCGGGCTGGGAGTGTTGGGAAGATGGTGGCTCCGTCCCGGGGGCGTTGTGTGCGGCAGCGACGTCGCCGGTCACAAGCCAGTTACTGCCGCGCCCACGCTGCTGCCCGGGAAGGGGGTGGCTCCAGCGCCCGGGAGACGGAAGTTCCCCAAGTATTTTTGTTTGTTCTCCATATTTATCTATAAACTTTAAAAAGACGTATGCGGTGTATTTTTTTTAAATACCCTTGATTTTCTTGGTGATCGCGTTTAGACAGTGATGGTGGTAAATGCCTCTTTCTCATCTTGCCAGTCCCCTCTAGACTGTATTGCCTTACGGGATCAGACCAGCCGTCCCTCTGATCAGATTCCCAGTCTATCAGTGGCCAAAACCAGTTACATCAGAGGAAAGTGGAAGAAGCCCTGTAAGGGACAGTTACGGGATATCTTGTCCATGGTGGACATTTACCTCTAAACACCTTTCAGTTAGTGTTCGGTTTATGCCCTGGGACAGCAGTATTTCTATCCTTTAAAAACGTATTTCATCTCATGTAAAAGAGGGTATTGTCAGATTGCAGACTTTAAAATATTTGAAAGTAAAAGTCTGTGTGTGTGTGTTTTTCAGTCTAAACCAAGCTTATGAAAATCGTTGAACTTTATGTAAAACCTCTGCTGTTAAAAATTTAACCAATCATTTCTAACTGTTACGATGGTGTTTTTTTTTTTTAATAGTACAATTATCCTTTTGAAGATGATATACTTGTCTCTATGGAATCATTGACTTATGATACACCCATTGGTAAGAATTCCTTAAAATAACGGTGTTTTCATTTTTTTTTTTTCAGACCTACTACGGTGTACAGATTTACACAAATAGGACTGGATAATGTCTGGCAAAAATAATTCACTCTGTGGCCCAGATCCTAAAAAAAACTTCAGTATCTGCTGTAGTTTACCCATGGGAGTAGTCCCAGCAAAGCCATATGTAAAATGCAACGCATGGATAATTTTTACAGGCTCTGGGTCTATGTCCATATGTAGCAATGGGTGAAGGGTAAAAGCAAGTTACAATTTTAGTCATTATTTAGACAAAAAAAGGTATTGGGGCTCTACTATAGTGAGTTGTAAGGAACAAACATTAGGGTAGAAGAGGAGTTTAAAGGAAAGAATGTAAGTGAGAAAAGAGAATGAAGGGGAGAACTCAGAAGCTGTTATGTAAAAGCTGTTGTGATGTGAATGTTTTGCAGCATCTCATTGGATGGAATAGATTATTATCTGAAGAAGGCTTTTTCTTCACTGTGAGAGCACATGGTTAATTTTGTTACTGTACTGAGATTGGGGGAAGTCATGTTTTTCCAAAGTTTCATAAAAGTTGTCATCCATCAGAAGGGTTGTATGTATATGAGGAGATTCGAACACAAAAGGCTGAGATCTGTCTAAAATGTTGTATGGTCTGCAATGTAATAGGCAATGTGGTTTAATGGTTTGAATATGTTACTTGGAGTCAAGAACTGCTCTGCTATAGCTTCCTACCTGTCAAATGAGGATGGATACCTAAGTGCCTTACCAGGGTTAACTTAACTATTGTAGGCATATGTAAAATGCTACAAAAATACCAACTATTAAGTAGTCCTAGGTTCAGAATTTAGGCTGTGTTTTTAAAGGCTTTTACAATCTTAATATAATTAAATATATTTTCAGGAGTTAAGGATTAAAGTCGGATTTTTTTGTGTTTGCATTTTTGCTGCTTGGAATGTGTGAATTTGCAATGGCTGTGTCTGGTGTAATGTGTCTGCTTTTTGTAACATCTGTTTACACCTTATATGAAATACTACATATAGGTCCCATTACTGCAAAGACTTACACATGTGAACTGCTGTACACTCCACATAGGCTTGGTGCATTTAATGGGACTACTCACATACAAAGTTAGCTGCTTGCTTAGGTCTTTGTAGGTTCAGGGCCATAACATGCAATGGAGCTGAGTTATGTCATTAAGGAAACTAACTTTGAATTTATGGACTTTATTCAGTTTCATCTCAAACATAGAACTGCATTAAAGAAGTCATTTTCATATAAATTGCTGGCCAACACACAACGTAAATGCCCTGCAGGTGTAGTTTGGTTTTGATGACATTTTCACTGCCTAACACACTCCCTAAATACAGAGAGGTTATTCAACATAAACATATACTATAATGCATGCAAAATGTTTGTTGTAATTTCTGTTTTGTTATATCTAGGACCACAGCTATGGGGTGATATGTCAGAAAAAAACATTAATGAATGGAAGAAAAAACTACATAAGGTATTTAATAACTCTCTTGCATGGTATGATTTCCTTAATTTAACCTTGCTGTTCCAAAGAATATTTGTGGGATACAATCAAAGAGAAATAGTTCTCCATTTCATAGCGCTAATAAGCTCAGCGGCCAAAAAAAATATTGCTGAGAGAATACAGCTTGAAGGTCTTTTAACAATACTCTTGTACCTCTTCAGCATATCACGGTTGACTTTAAAATATACTTGAGGTAAAATGACAGCAGTTGGCTAAGTTCTGCCCTGGGGCCTCCAATGGTCCCACCTCCACTATTATTTACATGCATTGTTTTGTAGAGATTGAACTAAAGTAATGACAATGTTTTAGCAATCTGAATTGTCTCTAAGGCCATGTCTATACTACCACTTACGTCTGCAAAGCTTATGTCCTTCAGGGGTGTGAAAAAACACCTGGAGTGACATAAGTTTCGCTGGCATAAGTGGTAGCGTGAACAGCACTATGTTGGCGGGAGAACTTCTCCCGCTGACATAGCTACTGTCGCTCATTGGACATGGTTTAATTATGCCGACGAGAGAACTCTCTCCCACCGGCCTAGAGCAGCTACACGAAGTCTTACAGCGGCGCAGCTACATCAGTATAGCTCTGCTGCTGTAAGATGTCTCACGTAGACATAGCGTAAGTGTGCGCATGCCAAGCTCAACTCTCTTCCTCCCTTATTGTTGTGGAAATTATATTTTATGTGTTTCCTTTTTCCCTCTCTTCCTGCGTCACTCCAAAAAACAAATATTGGCCTCCTCAGCAAATGTATATTACAAACATTTGTAAGAAACCAAACCTTCAGTCTTCTCCCAAATGCCTGTTCTAAAAGGTGGGCTGTGTGGAGTGTCTTGAAGGTCAACAAATCTGGATTTTTTTGAACTGGGCAGATTAAAGGAAAGAAGAGTGAATTTTTAGTCTCGAGGGGACCCAAAGGAGAATGCTCTCTCCTTAGCTCTCTCATATACCAAGGTATCTGCAGTTTGTGTGTCTTTGATTTTAACAGTAGCAGTATGGTGTGAGAAAGCAAGGTGGTGCTTCAGGTAAGATGATCCTAGGGATATTCAGTGCTTTGTAGGTCAATAACCTCTTAGACTGCAACCAAAAGCTGTTGGGAATTGAGGTTGAATAGTACTTTACAGAATCAGGGCCCTTATAAATAAATAAGCAAAGTAAATAAGTGTCTTGCAAAATAACTTACACTGTTCTAAGATTGTTCTGACTCTTCTCTTTTTTGTTTTTAATTGCAGAGGGCCACACAATGTCAAAAAATCACAGGTAAAGGAAAAGTTTTACATATTTCAGCATGTACTATATTTAATCTCTTCAAAAGCAAAATAAAAATGCCATATCACTGTATGTGTTGTTTTAGAAATATACATTTGCTTTTAATATACTAGGCAGTATAAGACTAAAGACCTCAGATATCTTCAACCCCAGAAAATATTTTTACAGTGGCACTACTGGACATGTTAGTATGCCTTTATAAAAAGCGTGATTTATTTTTTTTAAGATTATCATTAGGACTGTCAAGCGATTAAAAAAATTAATCTCAATTAATTGCACTGTTAATAATAGAACACCATTTATTTAAATATTTTTGGATTTTTTTGCTACATTTTCAAATACACTGATTTCAATTACAACACTACAAAGTGTACAGTGCTCACTGTATATTTTTCATTACAAGTATTTACACTGTAAAAATAAGAAATAGTATTTTTCAATTCACGTAATACAAGTACTGTAGTGCAATCTCTTAATCATGAAAGTTGAATCTACAAATATAGAATTATGTATAAAAAAGCTGCATTCAAAAATAAAACAGTGTAAAATTTTAGAGCCTGCAAGTCCACTCATTCCTACTTCTTGTTCAGCCAATCGCTCAGACAAATGAGTTTGTTTACATTTGCAGAAGATAATGCTGCCCACTTCTTGTTTACAATGTCACCTAAAAGTGAGAACAGGCATTCTCATGGCTCTGTTGTAGCTGGCAACATTTACATGCCAGATATGCTAAAGATTCATCTGTCCCTTCATGCTTCAACCACCATTCCAGGGGTCATGCGTCCATGCTGATGACAGGTTCTGCTTGATAACAATCTAAAGCAGTGCAGACCGATGCATGTTCATTTTCATTATCTGAGTCAGATGCCACCAGAGGAAGGTTGATTTTCTTTTTCGATAGTTCGGATTTTGTAGTTTCCACATTGAAATGTTGCTCTCTGAAAGCATGCTCCACACATCGTCCTGCTCAGATTTTGGAAAGCACTTCAGATTCTTAAACCTTGGGTCGAGTGTGAGATTTCTAAGGGTAGCTGCAGCACTGGTACCTTCTTTGCGTTTTGTCATATCTGCAGAGAAAGTGTTCTTAAAATGATCAACATGTGCTGGGTCATCATACGAGACTCCTATAACATGAAATATATGGCAGAATATGGGTAAAACAGAGCAGGGTACATACAATTCTCCCACAAGGAGTTCAGTCACAAATTAAATTAATGCGTTATTTTTTTTTAACGAGCATCATCAGCATGGAAGTATGTCCTCTGGAATGGTGGCCGAAGCATGAAGGGGTATACGAATGTTTAGCATATCTGGCACGTAAATACCTTGCAATGCCAGCTAGAAAAGTGCCATGCAAATGCCTTTTCTCACTTTCTGGGTGACCTTGTAAATAAGAAGAGGGCCCCATTATCTCCTGTAAATGTAAACAGACTTCTTTGTCTTAGCGATTGGTTGAACAAGAAGTAGACTGGGTGGGACTTGTAGGCTCTAAGGTTTTGCATTGTTTTGCTTTTGCGTGCAGTTATGGAACAACAAAAAAATCTACATTTATAAGTTGTGCTTTCACAGAGATTGCACTATGGTACTTCTATGAGGTGAATTGAAAAATACTATTTCTTTTGTTTATCATTTTCACAGTGCAAATATTTATAATAAAAATAATATACACTTCGATTTCAATTACAACACAGAATACAATATATATGAAAATGTAGTAAAACATCCAGAATATTTAATAAATTTCAATTGGTATTCTATTGTTTAACAATGCGATTAAAACTGCGATTAATTTTTTTGAGTTAATCGTGTGAGTTAACTGCGATTAACCTACAGCCCTAATTATCATATACATTTTTACTATGGGATATTTTTTAAAAGTCCTGTTTTTAAATCTGAACTCTTCAAAGTGCAAATTGTTAGTGAAGGGAGGTCAGATGAATGCTCCAAAAGGTTCTGAAATATGGATTTAAAAAAAGCTTGAGATGAGTGCTTACCCAGTAGGTGTGGTTGGTATCATTGCTTATTAAGATTGCCCAACACTTCCTATTATAAGACCCTGTTTTCAGTTACTTCTAGCAACCAAATCTTTCAAGCTGAAATTTTCCATGCTGGATGTTTGCCTCAGGCTGAGTTTTGGAAAATTTCAGCCGAATTATTCTCAAAAATGGCTGAACCAGTCTAGGTTAAAATAAGGGTTTTTTACCCCATTATATTCTGGTGACCTGTTCTTTGAAAAGCTCTAGCGCCTTCAGGCTTTGGAGCAGGGACTTGAAATTGGGCTGGAGAGGATGGGGTTTTTTGCTAGGGTTGTGGATTTGCCATCCTTGTGAAAATCTAACTACATTTGGTCAAGTTATAAGCCTTTGGAAAATAGCAACTCTCCCATGCTCAGTAGTTTGATATTAGCAGCTAAAATCCCAGAAGATTCCATCCTCACTGAGCATGTTTGAGCCTCTCTCAGCTCCTAGCGCAGGTACCAGTCCTCACAGAGTGACTAAACATTCTCCATCTCCTCAAGACTACTGTAGGTGACAGGAATGTGCATTTGTCATCCTTGAAGGCCCTACCAAATTCATGGTCCATTTTGGTCAATTTCATGGTCATAGGATTTTAAAAATCGTAAATTTCATGATTTCAGCTATTTAATTCTGAAATTTCGCGGTGTTGTATTTGTAGGGATCCTGATCCAAAAAGGAGTTGGGGGGGGGGGGGAGTTGTGATACAGCTACCCTTACTTCTGCACTGCTGTGGCGGTGGCACTGCTGTCAGAACTGGGCGGACGGAGAGCGGTGGCTGCTGGCCGGGAGCCCAGTGCTGAAGGCAGAGCCACCAGCAGCAGCAGCTCAGAAGTAAGGAAGGCACGGTATGGTCTTGCCACCCTAACTTCTGTGCTGCTGCTGGCAGGGTGCTGCCTTCAGAGCTGGGCACCTGGCCACCAGTCACCGCTCTCTGGCCGCTCAGCAATGAAGACAGTGCAGAAGTAAGGGTGGCAATACTGCGACACCCCTACCCCACCCCGCAACTCATTTTTGGGTCAGGACCCCCAATAGAGAAACGCTGGTCTCCCTGTGAATCTGTACGGTATAGGGTAAAAGCACACAAAAGACCAGATTTCATGGGGGAGACCCGATTTCAGAGTCCGTGAAGTGTTTTTCATGGCCATGACTTTGGTTGGGCCCTAGTCATCCTTTCAGAGTGACTGAGCACGTTCCAGCCCAGGGCTATGCAGGCTAAGCAGGGTACTCCCTCTAATGGCTGCTCTGGGCCTAGGTGCTGCTGGACACTGAAAATCAGAGCAGGAAGCTTGTCTCTCCTGTGCTCATAGGGACCCGTCCCCCCAGTTAGCACCCAGACAGCGTGGAGGAGGAAGCAGCCTGATTTGAATGCAGAGAGAACAAAAGCTGTACAGGGGGGAAGGTAAGGAGTAAATTGGGACAAATTGTTTGGTAAAACTGGGACTGGAAGGAGTGAGGGAGAGAAGCTGGGATTGAGGATAGCAGGGGTAATGGAGACTGGGACTGATTGGGCATGGAGATTTAGACTGAGAGGTGGTGGGGGATGGGCTTCTGGGAACTGGTTGGTGGTGCGGATGGGGTCACTGAGATTGGATGAGAAGCTGAAGGGGAGTGGGGACACTGGGACAGGTTGGTCTAGGAGTCACTAAGAAACAGTGGGGGAAGAGCATAGGGGTGTGGTGGGAAGAGAGATTTAGATTGTATGAGGAGCCTGAGGAGGGTGACTAGGACGGTGATTGGGCAAGAAGAGTGGGACTAGGATGTGAATTCTGAGGGGTGGAGACTTGGACTGGATAGGCAAGGAGAAAGGGCCTGGAACAAGGAGCCACAGGTGGGGAAGAGACAGGGCTGGAATAGCCAGTCTGGAGGGGATAAGGCAGAAGGGGTCAAATTTGGTGGGGGGGGAGGGGAAATGTGTTGTATTCTGTGTTGAAATTGAAATTAATATATTTGAAAATGTAGAAAACATCCAAAAATCTTTAAATAAATGGTATTCTGTTATTATTTAACAGTGCGATTAGTCATGCAATTGCTTTTTTTTAATCGTACAATTAATCACAATTAATTTTTTTAATCACTTGACAGGCCTAATACAAATACGTAAACAAAAAGAAAAACTGGAAAATTTATTTTTTTGCCTCAGAACAAAAGCAGAGAAACATCCATGCTGTCCATCCATTTTTGGTAACAAGTGTAAAGTATTTCTTGCTTAGGAGGACTTAAGACTAGCATAACTAAGTTCAAAAAGGGGGGGGGGGGAACAGAAGGTGTGAAGTGTTTTTTCTTCTACATGGCCTTGCATACAATAAAGATGATGAGATTTAAAAGTAGTTCAAATCAAGCCTTTAGAACTAAAAAACAAAACAAACGCCCCCCCTTCCCTCCCCCCCCCAACCGAACAAATACATTTCTTTGGCATTAATCTCAATGCCATTAGCACATAGCAGGGCTAGGGTCAAATCCGGAGCTTAATGCAAAGAATTCCCAGTGCAGAGACATCAAACGCTGTCTTTTGAAGTCTCCATTGCAAGCTGTTCCACTGTCTCAATTTCATTCCACTACCTAAGAATATGTTTTAATTACCATTCTCCCCCCACCCCTGTCAGCATATACACATACTATTATAATATTAGAAAGTTAAGAGGTGTGATCATATGACTTCAGTGGCCTTTGGAGAAAGCCTACAGTTAACATATACTAGAAACCTTTTTTCGGGGAGAATTTCTATTACACCATTTGATTTATGAATACTGCTCTTGTGCTCACACCTGACCCATATAAACAATACACTTTTTTAACTCTCTTCCCCCATCATTTGAATGTAATTACATCAGCTGAACCCCCTAAAGGATAGTTAACCCTAACATCCTTTTGTTGTGCTATCTACATTCATTCCCTATCCAAGAGTCCACCTTTAACCCAGTCTAACAATATATTAACAAAGAAAAACCAAACCAAAACCACCCCTATGTTCAAAGAACATTCAGGTTGCAAAGACAAGCATCAGTAGTTGGAAAAAAATAATCGTAATTAATCACACTGTTAAACAATAATAGAATGCCATTTACTTAAATATTTTTGGATGTTTTTACATTTTCAAATATATTAATTTCAATTTTAACACAGAATACAAAGTGTACAGTGCGGGTAGGAGGACCAAGGAAGAAATGTGTTAAACTCCTGGCAGAATGATATTTCTGTGGTGTTTAACATACAGGCCAAATTTTTCCTTACCTAAATAAAGGGGATGTTTGTTCCAGTTTCAGACAAACAAAAAATCCCTCTGTGATGTTTAATAGATTTTGCTCTCTAGGGACAAAAACAGAAATTTGGTTGATATGACTACCCTTATTGCTTCTCAGTAGCACAGTTAAGTTGGGAGTAATGTAACCCTGAATCAGCATTTTAAAAATAAAATATATTGCTAAAAGATATTTTCAATGCACTGTAGATGTACGTCGTGTTCACAAAGTGAGCAAGATGGATCCCTGTGATCCTAAGAGTTACAAGCTAAGGCCCTGATCCTGCAAATAGCATAAACTCAGGTGCTTAACTTTATGCATGCGAGTAATCCCATCATAGTCTTGTTTGGTCCTCCTCCCCTTATAATTCCATATGCATTTCTCGAAGACTTCATCCTGCAAACTGCTAGGCATGAAATTTGTCCCATTGACTTCAGTGCGAATACTTGTATCTGTAAAATTGAGCACAATGAACAAATATTTGCAGGATCCCCATGTGCCTAATTTAAGAAGCCAAAAGGTTTTTCCCTATCATAATAAAAATAAATAACACTTTGATCTTTGACTAACGTCAGTTTATCTAGGAACAGACTTGAAGCAGTTAAGCAGGGGTGGGCAAACTTTTAGGCCTGAGGGCCCATTGGGGTTCCAAAACTGTATGGAGGGCCAGGTAGGGAAGGCTGTGCCTCCCCAAACAGCCTGGCCCTGGCCGCCTATCTGCCCCCTCCCATTTCCCGCCCCCTGACTGCCTCCCTCAGAACCCCTGATCCATCCAACCCTGCCTGCTCCTTGTCCCCGGACACCACGCCCTATTCAACCCTCCCCGTCCCCTGACTGCCCTGACCCCTGTCCACACCCCAGCCCCCTGATAGGCCACCCCGGGACACTCACGCCTATCCAGCCCTCCTGCTCCCTGCCCCATTGCCATGCTACTCAGAGCACCAGGACTGGCAGCCATGCCTCCCGGCTGGAGCCAACCACACCACCTCACAGTCTAGAGCACCGGGGCATGCCAGTGGCTCTCACAGTCGCACTGCCCAGCAGGAGCTCGCAGCCCTGCCACCCAGAGCACTGGCGGCATGGTGAGCTGAGTCTGTGCAGGAGTGGGGGGACAGCAGGGGAGAGGCTGGGGGCTAGCATCCCTGGCCAGGAGCTCAAGGGCCAGGCAGGACGGTCTGGCCCGTGGGCCATAGTTTGCCCACCTCTGAGTTAAAGCAAAAACAACAAATTTTGCCTTCAGCAGGAACTTTTTTTTTTCCACGTCAGATATGGATGGGTAGCTTTAGACTATTTGGTTATACATATATTTTTATTATACATAATGTTTCCATGTTTTGCAGACCAATTGCATCACATGCGCTCTGTCATGAGAAGACATAAGCACTACAGTTTTAGTACCAGCAGATTAGGAAGATTTAGGTACAGAACTTTTATTAGGTATCCTTCATTCTAGAGAGGAGAATCAAATTCTTGCTAATAATGTAATATCAGACTGAGTTAATTACTCTTTTTCCCCTGCCTCTGGTGCACATCAAAAGCATGTCCCATGTATGGATATTAGAAGCTGTACTACTATTGAGAAACTAGATCCTGTTTTCCAATATAACAAGGAGTTATCCTTGTTTAAGATACCTATTTAGTTCTGTTTCCAGAGCCAAAGGCTTTTTCTTCATATTTTCAGGTTTCTTCTCAACTACTTCAAATCAGTTTTCCATCTGAGACATTTTATTAAGGACAGTATCTAGTTTAGCATCAAGAATCAAATTACCCTTCAAGAGTATTCGCAGCTGTAAATACAAATTAAATAAAGTTGGCATCCGATATAATCACCGGTTTTAAGGAAATTTGATTGTTTTTTTTAATCAGTCAGGCTGAGTGCTTCTGGTGTACTAATAAGCTAAGGGAGAAGATGGTGGGGACTGAAGCACAAAGTAGACTCTTTCACTGGATTCTTAAAGGAGAAAAAAGCATGGAACATGTTTTAGACTCTTTTTATAACAACAGATGCTGTTATGGTCTTTACATTTGTCTTGCTTCTTGTGGGAAAAAAAAAATTTAAAATATAGGGATGGAGACAAGATCCCCCTTAAGCCAAGGAGGGGAAGCACAATTTGTAATGGAAGAAACTGTTCTAAGATGGGCTGCCCAAAATATACCAGAAAGATATGAAGCACATAAAGCAGCTCCTGAAGTAGCAGGTGGAAAAAACCCAAACCTCCCTGATATCCCTTCAAAATACACAGAAAACTGCCTCCCCTCTTTCTCTTCTCTCGTGACTCTCAAAGACAGTACCAGGAAATGTAGGCAGAGGAATATCCACTTTCTGGTGTCACTTCAGGGAGCAAGCGGGAAAGGTATAGCACAGAGGTGGGCAAACTACGGCCCACGAGCCACATCTGGCCCGCGGGACCGTCCTGCCTGGCCCCTGAGCTCCTGGCCAGGGAGGCTAGCCCCAGTCCCTCCCCTGCTGTTCTCCCTCCCCCACAGCCTCGCCAGCAGTGGGGCTGCAAGCTCCTGCCGCTCTGAGCGGCATGTAAGGGGGCGGTGGTGGCAGTGCATGGCGGCGGCGGGTGGGTTGGGTAGCAGGTCCCGGGGGGCAGACAGGGAGCAGGGGATGGTTAGGGGCGGGGTGTCCCAGAGGCAGATGTTCTGGAGCTGTCAGGGAACGGGGGGGTTGGATAGGGTGTGGGAGTCCCGGGGGGCCTGTCGGGGGGTGGGGGTGTGGATAGGTCGGGGCAGTGAGGGTACAGGGAGCAGGAGGGGTTGGATAGGGGGTTGGGATCCTGGCGGGGGGCGGTTTGGGGTGGGGGGTCCCAGAAGGGGGCAGTCAGGGGACAGGAAGTGGGACAGGGTGAATAGGGGGTGGGGGCCAGGCTATTTGGGGGGCACAGCCTTCCCTACCTGGTCCTCCATACAGTTTCACACCCCGATGTGGCCCTCGGACCAAAAAGTTTGCCCACCCCTGGTATAGCAGCTCAAACTGATGTGTGCACATGGAGGTGTCGCTCCCTGGTTCAGTCATGGCACATCTGACAGTTGCAAGATGGTATTGGTGAAGTAGTGCAGGAAGGCTTGGATCTGGGAACACCAGCAGAATTATTTTGTGTAAATAGTGTTCATTTAATGCAGTGCTGTGTTTGAGGCCGGTATCTGGAGCAGGCAAAATAAAAAGGGTACTTGAAACTAGACAAATGTATATTTATGATACTCTATTTTTCCTTATATATTGGTAAAAAAAATTAGCTCTAAATCGTCTCCTTCCTTGTTTTCTAGCACATTTTTAGGCACTATGTAAATAATCACGCAAAGAACACAGAAGAAGGCGTGCTGTATCTCATTAGAACATTATAAATGGTTTTAATAGTATTTGCAACTCGTAATCAGTAATTATTAGTTATAAGTAGTATAAATATTTATCTACCTAAAAGAGTAAATTAATGACTGTAGTGTAAACCTTGTAAATCTTTTTGTTTAAAAGAGAAAGTCTTGTGCTTTGAATGTAATTTCCAGTATCTACAGCCTGATTTTTTTTTCATGTGTACAACTTTAAAAAGTTGAGTAAAAATATCCAGGAACCAATGCTTATGGAAAAGCTTCATAGCTAGAAGGGAATATGCAAAAGTCCAGAAGTAGAGGGATGACTTCTAGAGGTACAAAAGGAAGTTTGGCACCCAACTATACTTGTTCCCCTGAAAATCTCTCCCCCATAACATTTGAGAATGTTAATAATTGGTTTTGGGCAACTTGTATATTTTAAAGGTGAATATTACCTGTACTGTAGAGAAATAGGCTCTGATCCTGCAAACACTTAAGTGTGTGTGTGTGTATAACGTGACTTACGTGTAGTCCCAATGAGGTTAGTAGAACTTACCCACATAAAGAAAGTTAGACAGTTGCTTAAGTATTGTAATATTGGATCCCTAGAGATTAGCGGTGTTTTACAAATAGTTTGTGGTTGTCTACTAGAGAGGCTTTTGAGTATCTGTCTAAAAGCATTGGGTGAGATCTGTAGCTGATCTAATGAACATAGCTTCATTGACTTCTGTGATACTATGCCAATTTATGTTGGGTGAAAATCTGACTGTGTCTTTCTTCCTTTCTTTCATTTCTTTGTCTGTGTTCTGAATTTGTTAAACCTTTCCGGAGTTTACTTATTTAGAAAATACTTTAATCATAAATATTTATGTCTAAATGAGAAATTAGTTAAATCAGTTTTTGGATGCAAATGTAGCACTTGTTTGCAATATGTCGCATTCTAACATAGATTTCTTTTTTCAAACTTTCTAATTAAGAATCACGAAAGCAATGGATCTCTGATTTTGAAGATGAAGATTTAAAAGTACATCAGGTATGGACACCATAAGGTTTTCTGGCAAATGTGAATGTGTTAGATATGAATGTATGACTCTGTAAATATAATTACTATGTTTTTCTTCATGCAGGATTCTGTATGATTTTTATGATAGCCTAATTTAAAATAAGTGTGTGAATTATTGAATTAAATTACCATGCTGTCTAATACAGATACAATCTTTTTGAAAAAATGAGGAATTTTTCTTCCTTGTTTACTACGGTATTGCAGCAGTGCATCTCCTTCAAGAATTGCCCATATAGTTCCCCAGCTGTTGAATGCACATGCCTCCTTTATGGCCAGTTGCATCCTTTTAGAAGAGCTCTTACTGTTAGTATGTGCATGGTTTGAAACAAAATTTATTCTCATAGTTACTGAGATCATCTAATTTACATTTTCTATCTTTAAAGCAATGGAGCAACTGGAGGTGGCCTGCAGTTGTTATGGGTTTTGTACCTCACCATAACCTTATCAGCTGTATCCCCCATCTACAAGATGAGTTTGAGGCCTCATTTTATGTGCACTGAGGCACAATGGTTTCTAATTGTATTACTTGGTGCAACAGAGTTCAGACCATGTCAAACCTGGATCTAATATGCCCTTGGATTTGGTGCACCCCAGATCATACAGAAGTTCAACTAAACTGTACTGCTTAGTTGTCTAACCCTGATGTAATTGGACCTCAAGTTTTTTAGTACATTTTCACAGCTTAACAGAAAGATTGCAGGAGGCTCCCTGCACAGCTGCAGGGCCAATGACACTACAGGCACAAGTTGCAGGGAAGGCTGTGGTCTTGGTGGGGATTGCACAGAGATCCCCAAGACCACAAGAAGGAGAGCTAGCTCCTGGCTGAAAGGAGGCCAACCTGCTGCTGAACAGCTTCTCCCCAGGAATGGCCCCCACACTCCCAACTGGTGAATGAGTGAGTGGGACTGTAACAGAGACCTTCCTGCAAGGCTGGGATACTGGACCCTGTGCACATAAGGTGTGGGGGAGACTTCATTTGCTAACTGCAATGGATGGATATGTTGTTCATCCATTTCTGTGTGTCAGGTGGCATCAGTTTACACTAATGACTGCTGATTTAAAATGAATCCTGCTAAGCTTAAGTCATCTGGGTCTAGAGGCTTTTATGGGTTGGGTGAAGCTGGAAAGCCAGTGAGCAGTATGGTCCATAGAGCAATTATTGTTTTTTTTTCTCTGGTTATAGCTCTCAACAATATTGGAAAATTATATTTGGACCCTGGTATTAGTCACCATTGTTCTAAAGTTGCGGGGGAGGTTTTTAAGCATGTTCTTACTGTTTTTAAAGTGTACTACAATATTCTTTCCTCTTGTATTGCACACATAGTTGTATTTTTTATTTCACTTTTTATCAAGGAATGCATGTTGTTTATATGAAGGCCATATAGAAATAGTCTTTTGTATTATGTCTTCTATAACTCTTTGCCCCTCGTGTGATTATCTCCTCCCTCCTGTGCTGTGAATATATGAACATTCGCTGAATCCCAGCCTCTGTTTTAAATTAATCTGAAGTGAAAGAGCTATTTCTTGTGGGCTTTAACACCTACCAGATGGGGTTTTGTTTTGTTTTTCAATTGAAGATAGGTTTGGTTTTGGTTTTTTTAACCTTACTGATGTTTAATGTGTCAATTGTAAACTCTACAGGCTCTTTAAGGGTTAGCTGCTTTTGGGACTTGCTCCTTCTCAGGATCAAATGTGAAACAGTACCTGAAATTCAGTATGGCAGGCTTCTTGGGTTTGTTGCCCCCTTTAAGTAATGACATTGTTTTTCTAGTTATCTGTCTCAAGTTCATGAAAGTTTTTTGTCTGTCTGCATTTTGCTGTTGTCTTCAGTCCAAAGTGCATTTTTGGATTAGATAGAAAAATACTGTTTAGATTTGTTTTGCAACGAGGTTCTTCAAGAACTCTGGTAAGATGTCAATTGAAAACATGTAAAAAAAGCTATTTGTCTGTATGAGTATCTTTTGCATTGGAATGTAAAAAGTTCCTAAAAATATTGACTCTGAAATTTTCTCTACTGAAACCTTTTAAGTAAACTGTTAAGAGCCTAATCTGCATACATTGTGACTTTTTTTTTTCCCTGTTGACTCCAGTTATTTCTTTGGGTGCAGGATCAAACCCCCATATTCTGGGGAATATTAATATAGTTTTAAGAAAACCAGTTGCAAATAACCAGTCTCTTTTTTTGATGAAGTAGAGAACTTCATTTGACTCTCTCTATAATGTAATGGTATCGACAGTAAAGTAAGTCAATCGCTCTTGCAAATTTCTGTTCTCCTGTGGCAAGCAACTGTAATTGACAGGCAAATAAGATCTCTGTTCTTTTCAGTATCCATCTCATAATAGAGGATGAGAGAGTAAACTTTTTTCTCAGCTGGTAAAGTTCCATGACCATTTTGCAAGGCAGCCTTCATATAGCAGTTAAGTAACTCAAGTGTGGTACTACTTTGAAACTAGGTGGTTCTGCTCTTGATTCTACTCCAAGAATAGCATTGTGGTGTTGAAGATTTAGTGGCTCTGCATGACACCAGATGAAATGTACTCAGTTTATAAGTATGCTTTTTTCCCCTAATTGCCAGGTCTACAAACTCAACATGGATTCTGAAGTGCAAACTGGATTCTTTTTGGCTCATAGATTACCGACAGTAAAGATACATTAATAATAATTAAAATTCTTTTAGCTGTTAAACCAATCTATCTGAGCCCCATCACTATATCATTGTTGAGCTGTTATATTATAATGTGTAACCGAGTACACACTAGTTTCCTCTCACTTTTATGTTGGTTCTCTGGGAATAAATGGAGGAAAAAGTGGTAAAAAATTGAGTATTCAGCTGAGAGTCAAGAATAGGTTTTAGGAGCAGTTTTGTTTTAGATGCCTTTTTGACATAGTCATTTTCACAAGAGAATTGGGCTTTCAGCAGTGACAGTGGAACTAATGGCGAAGGGAATTCGAGTAGTCCAGATTATTAGAGCTAAACTGCTACTAGTTCCTGTGACTTTGTTCATGTGTATTTTTATTTCAAGGAACCTGCTAGGAAATCCTTTATAGACTCCTATGAAGAGATTCAAGTTGCTGACACAGGTAAGATTTCAAAAAAGTTATTAATCTTGCCATTAGTATTTATTAATTTAAAATGCATGAAAGTCCTGCTCGTTGTGATTTTTCCAAAATAATTAAAATGGTGGGTTAATCTGTGTCTGCTTTTTACACTCCTAATATGTTGTAGCTGAAGTATTGAGTAGGGACTGTATGAGACCATATTGTTGACCAGTGCAACATTCGTGTCCTTGATTAGACCCCAGCACAGAAGTGACTGGTATGGCATCCAAGAAGAGTCTGTGTAAACTCAAAAGCTTGTCTGTCTCTCTCTCTCTCTGTCTCTCTCACCAACAGAAGTTGGTCCAATAAAAGATATTACCTCCCCCACCTTGTCTCTCTAAGTATGAAATAGGTTCCTTTGCATCTGTCTGCCATTTCATAAATCAAAAGGGGGAGAGAGAATGAAAACTCATACTGCAAAATAGAAATGAGTGGTTTATTATTATTTTTTGGTTTGGTTGGTTTGTGTGTATCACCATAGTGCCTAAGAGGTTTGTACCAGAAAGGCATGGGGAGTAATTTTAATGGACATGCAAGTGAGTCATTGAACTGAGCCATCATGATGTGTCTGCAAGAGAGACCAGGACTCCTGCAATGATTGTCAGTCTCCATTTCAAACTTTTGAAAATGTTTTGTGTTCCTGACTGACTTATTAGTTGGTCATGACACTTGTATTAATACTGTTGTCTTCAAATAGCTGTGTTCTGAATGACATCACACAACATGTGTATTTCAGATGAGACTTTTTCTATCTGTAAGAGCAAGACTTGTGCTTTTGAGTAGGGTAATGGTTGGTAATGTTCTACTTATAACTCATATCACAGTTGAGCAGTCTAATTAATTGGTACATAATCTCTTTGGTATAATTATTGAAAATGAAACTTCTCCATAAGTAGGGTCCGACCAAATTCATGGTCCTTTTATTTTCAGTTTCATGGTCAGAGGTTTTTAAAAATCATACATTTAATGATTTCAGTTATTCAAATCTGAAATTTCACAGTGTTGTAATTTTAGGGTCCTGACCCAAAAAGTAGTTGTGTGTGGTGAGGGGGTTGCAAGGTTATTGTAGGGAGAGTTGTGGTACTGCTACCCTTATTTCTGCATTGCTGCTGGTGGTGGTGCTGCCTTCAGAGCTGCACAGCTGCTACGGCCTACAGAGCTGGGCCCTCAGTCAGCAGCTGCTACTCTCGGGCCACCCAGCTCTGAAGGCAGCAGCGCAGAAGTAAGGGTGGCTTGGTATGGTATTACCATCCTTACTTCTGTGCTGCTGCTGCTGGCGGGGCACCACCTTCAGAACTGGGCGCCTGGCCACCAGCTGCCGCTCTCCAGCCACCCAGCTCTGACAGCAGCACAGAAGTAAAGGTGGCAAAACCGCGCCACCCTTCCCTTGTAAAATAACCTTGCGATCCCCGCTGCACAACCTTTTGAGTCAGGACCCCCAATTTGAGAAACGTGAACTCCCCTGTGAAATCTATATAGTATAGGGTAAAAGCACACATAAGACCAGAATTCACGGTCCACGATGCTTTTTTTCATGTCTGTGAATTTGGTAGGGCCCTATCCATAAGAATGTCATAGTATATCTCTTAAAATGCCCCTCTGCATTTATCTATCAATGGAAAACAACCATTTCAAGATGTGACATTTCTGACAATTAAAAGGACAGTCGCATTAGCTTTTTAAATGTCTCTATCTATCTCCTCAGCATATTTGTACTCCTGGGATGTTATGGCTGCTGTAGCCCAGATGGTGGCAACTTCTTATTGCAACTTCCTATATCTGTTAAAGCATGCATGCCGCCTCCTACTTGTCTGCGTTCTCTAATGGTCTGAGAGCAAGGCTTTAAAAGGGGGCATGGCACCCTCTGCAGACTCAGTTCCTTCCAACTGCAGGATCAGATAGATGTAAACCTCCATTAATCTAGATCCTTCACTTAGATTATTATAGTGCTTTAGCTTAGTGTGGTTTCCTGCTTTATAGTTGGTGTTAGTCTTGGCTAAGTTTGTGATTTAAGGAAAGTTTTGTTCTTAGTGAACTTCATAGAGACTTTGGTTCTGCAACTGGTGATAGCCTTTGGTTCCGCAACTGGTGATAACCTTGTCACCAGTACTTTCAGCTCCTTCTGTCATGGTTTTAGATGAAGTGCATCACACAAGTTCACAGTCAGATCATTTACCAGATCTGCAAGATACATTGCCTATAAGGGAAGTGGGGGAAAAAAACTCTTACGCTTCTTATAACTCTCCACCTGAGAAAGCAAGGTTAGAAGACTCGTTTGGTGTTCTCTGAACACTGAATAGGGTATTGAGTGCCCATGAGTGGGAATATGCAGAGGACATTTGAAGGAAGAAAAACAGAGTTTACTTACCTCTGACCAGAGTTGTTTGAGATGGACTCTGCATATTCACACTCCTTGCCAACCTTCCTGTCCTCTTCAGAGTCCTAATGAAATGCTGACTGAGAAAACCGTGGAAGGAATTAAGGTTGCAGAGGGCACCATGCTCCCTTTAATAGCCTTGCCCTTGGAACACTTGGGAATGGACGGTGGGGTGGAGGGGCATGTGAGCTCTCTAACAGTCACTCCTGTGAGACATTTCAACCATTTGAGTTACACTGTCCAGCGCATTCCATGAGTGTGAATATACATAGTCCATCTCAAAGAGCTCTGGTTATGCCATTTTTCAAAAGTGACTTAGGCGCTTCGGATCCCAAGTTCCACTGACTTTCAATGAGATTGAAGTTAAGAAATATGTTCCTGTACTATATTTTTAAGGATTTTGTAAAAATGTATTTTTTTCAAGATGTAATTTTTTGGCGAGTTTGGTCTTCACAGTGTCAGTTTAAAATCATTCCCAGAAATACAAATATATTGCATTGGTTTTGGATGAATTGGAATTTACTTAGTGTTTAACTTCAAATTGTAGATACCGAAAGCGAAGCTGATTTGGTTTCGATTAGAAGAAAATTTGAAAATGTTAACCTGAAGGTAAAAACAGTTCTGCTTTATACCTTTTGCATATGCTTTAAGGGGTTGGATTTTTTTAATTTAAAATATTTTCATGGGGATTTTGTGTAGGTGACAAGTTCTGGACTGACAGCCACAAACTTAATTCCTGTTCATCCACAGGTCAATTACAGCGTGGCCAACAGCAAGCACTATACTAATACAACTTTCTTCTCCTTTTCTCCATTACGTTGCCTATATGCTTCTTTGGTGCGAGTGACCAACTGTAGATGTGGGAGGGAGATTCATTTTCCATCCTTGTTCAGACCTGAGATTGCTTACAATACAAGGTTATTGATTAATATTATTAAACGCTTTCAGTGCATTTGTGATCTGGACTGACACAAACAAAGCCATTTCATATAAGCTGTTTGGAGTTTCTAGACCCAGAGAAGACAGCGAAGAATTTCAGAGACCCCTAAACAAGCAATATGATGGCAAATTAAGTTCAATGTTGATAAATATAAAGTAACATACATTGGATTGGGGAAAAAATTGAACTATTGAAAACATTTTACAGGTTTCTGAAGTTAATGTTGACTCAGGAAAGGGACAGGAGTTTTAGACAGCTCAGTGAAGACCTCAGGTCAATGCACAGAGCAGTCAAAATTGCAAATGATGTTAAGATACATAGGGAGTGTGATGGAGAGTATAAATAAATGGTGTGTCCTCATCTGAGATTAAACAGATGGGGATTGTTCATGTTAGAAAGGAGTTAAATAAGAGGAGGTGGGTGTGATAAAAATATATAAAATAATGAATTGTAAAGAAGCAATAGATCATGAATTAGTTTTCCTTGTCTCTTAACAAAAGAACAAAGGGCCATTTCGTGATATTTGGTGGCAAATTCAAAATCAATACAATGTGTAATTAGACTGAAACACCTTGCCTCACAGGGTTGAGGCCAAGAATTTAGCAAAATCAAAAAGAGAGTTTTGATATCCATATGCAATCTGGAGTTGTTTTAAAAATCAGAGTTTGAAGGCACGTTAAAATATATGCCTCAATGCATAAGCCAATCTTTAACTGTTAGAAACCACAATAAGACATTCCAGACAGGAGACATTCCAGAAGACTGGAAAGAGGCAAATATAGTGCCCATCTATAAAAAGGGAAATAAGGACAACCCAGGGAATTACAGACCAGTCAGCTTAACTTCTGTACCTGGAAAGATAATGGAGCAAATAATTAAGCAATCAATTTGCAAACACCTAGAAGATAAATAACTGTCAGCATGGGTTTGTCAAGAACAAATTGTGTCAAACCAACCTGATAGCTTTCTTTGACAGGGTAACAAGCCTTGTGGACGTGGGGGAAGCGGTAGATGTGGTATATCTTGACCTTAGTAAGGCTTTTGTTTCTGTCTTGCATGACCTTCTCATAAACAAACTAGGGAAATAAAACCCAGATGGAGCTACTATAAGAGAGTAGCTATCAGTGGTTCACAGTCATGCTGGAAGGACATAACGAGTGGCGTCCTTCAGGGATCAGTTCTGGGTCTGGTTCTGTTCAATATCTTCATCAATGATTTAGATAATGGCATAGAGAATACACTGATAAAGTTTGTGGATGACACCATGCTGAGAGGGGTTGCAAGTGCTTTGGAGGATAGGATTTAAATTCAAAATGATCTGAAGTAAATAGGATGAAATTCAAGAAGGATAAATGCGAAATACTCCACTTAGGAAGGAACAATCAGTTGCACACATACAAAATGGGAAATGACTGCCTAGGAAGGAGTACTGTGGAAAGGTATCTGGGGGTCATAGTGGATCACAGGTTAAATATGAATCAACAGTGTAACGCTGTTGCAAAAAAATCAAACATCATTCTGGGATGTATCAGCAGGAGTATTGTAAGCAAGACATGAGAAGTAATTCTTCCGCTCTACTCTGTGGTGATCAGACCTCAACTGGAGTATTGTGTCCAGTTCTGGGTGCCACATTTCAGGAAAGATGTGGACAAACTGGAGAAAATCCAGAGAAGAGCGACAAAAATGATTAAAGGTCTAGAAAACATGACCTATGAGAGAAGATTGAAAAAACTGGGTTTGTTTAGTCTGCAGAGGAGAAGACAGAGAGGGGACATAACTGTTTTTACAAGTACATAAAAGGTTGTTACAAGGAGGAGGGAGAAAATTATTGTCCTTAACCTCTGAGGATAGGACAAGAAGCAACGGGCTTAAATTGCAGCAAGGGCAGTTTAGGTTGGATGTTAGGAAAAACTTCCTACTGTCAGAGTGGTTAAGCACTGGATAAATTGCCTAGGGAGGTTGTGGAATCTCCATCACTGGGGATTTTTAAGAGCAGGTTGGACAAATGCCTGTCACAGATAGTCTAGATAATACTTAGTCCTGCCTTGAGTGCAGGGGACTGAACTAGATGACCTCTCGAGGTCCCTTCCAGTTCAGTGATTCTAAGACTTAATGCAGGGGTCCAGATTGCTCTACTTTGCTCTGCATGCCAACTGTGGGGTTCTGACACTTTCCTGTGATACATCTAGTGTTGGTAACTGTCAAAGACAGGAAACTGGACTAGGTGGATCTCATGTCTGATCCAGTATGGCAATTCCTATGTTTTTGGTAAAGGCCCGTATTAACACTGAGAAGGCCAGAGAATCTAGAGTTAAGTAGAGGTTAAGAATGGAGACAAATCTCCCTTTTATGTAGGAGTATGGATTATAATTTGTATCTCATTTATTAGTATACAATATTTAGCATTTTTGTTATTTGCATCCAAGGATCTCAGTACTTTACAAAATTTTGTCTCAGAATATTTTGAAGTATTATTAACCTTTTTTACAGATGGGCACTCTGAGGCACAGAGGTTGACTTGCCTAGGATCACCCAACTTGTCAGTGATGTATAGCTATGAGAAGACAGTATCTTTCCATAAATCATTATCAAACTTTTCCTATTTAAAATAAATAAATTAAAGGTGAAGAAAGTCTGCTGGAATACTTCAGATGGAAAGTAGTTGGAGTGGTATTGGCTTCTAGTTAGGCTATTCACATCTCACAAGTACACGTGGTTCCAAAGGACTTAGGAGGTGACTGTGAATTTCTTGTTTCATATTGCTATTTATACATGCATCTAATGTAAACACTATTTCATATTTTTTCTTAAACCAGAGAATATATATAATTGAAAAGTTAGATTACAGTTACTGAACATTTTATACTACTCTCTCTGACTTCCAATATAAACAGCATTTACTTGAAATGCAGTGACCTGATTGGTCTTGTCTTTATTGGTCAATATTTATATTGTTCTGTTGTTGTTTTTTCAAGTTTGAAATCCCTATGATTTGAATATGTTTTGTGAAGTTTTCTATTACTAACTTGTTACTGTGTAAACATTTTTTGTTTGGATGTTGCATTTGACATGTTTTTGTTTCTGTGAATAAAAGGAGGACATTCGACTTCTAAACCCTTCTGAGCTGGAAATGAGAGAGAAAGTCAGAGTTCGTGTGGATGTGATAGTACAAGATGATGAAAGAAACATCCCTAAATGGATTATGGTAATGCATCTGCTTGGTTTGGTAGAATTAATTCACTACTTAAAACTGGAATCTTTAAACTGCTAGCCAAACTATTGCTTGGTGTGCCTTGGCTAGGGGCAATCCAAATCTGTGAGAACTTCTTTGTGAAAAATAGGCTGAGTTTCTTGAAGATGGAACATCTTATTCACTTATAAAAATTTGAATCAATATACAGTTCGTCAGTTTAAAGCAAACTTGTGAGTCCGTATACCAGTATGAGTTTGTCAGTGTCGTCATATTCCAATTTGTTTCTTTCTTATTGGGTTGGAGACCAGTGATATGTCCCTAGAATTGGCTATCTCGGTTTATTAAGCCCTATTTTTGGCTGCTGAACAAAGGCACAGTCTCAGTATATGCCAGGTACATTCATCACTGAACTAGCTCATTTGTGTAACATTCCTTCAAACTCTCAAATATTGTCTTCAGTATCCCTGATTTCTTTTTCTTTCAACATAGGTTACAGTCACCAATATGCAATTATAGTGGGCTTTTTATTAGAATTACATCACGAAGACCACCAAAATACTTTCCTTTGCTGCCTCTCACTTGAATTTTTATTGCTTTTTCTGGTGGGGCAGGGAGTGCTGGCTTTTGCCCATTATGGAAAGTATTGCTCTGATAGCTTTGAAACATTGTGGGATGATTCAAAGAAACTGAACAAACATCATTTAACTCTCTTTCCCATTATACATTATTTTCCTGTCATTACTTACAAATGTTATTTGCTTCTTCAGAAAGTCTATTATTTTTGGGCTTGATGTTCACGGAAAATAAGAAATTGGAGGAAGTGGGGAGCTGTATGGTTATCTAGTAATGTTTTATGTAATGGGGCTGCTGTTTTTTTAATTTATTGTATTTGTCAGAGGTGCCTAAAGTGTTCAGATATGTGTTCCTTGTTTTATAAATGGAAGTAAATTTAAATATTTAGGAAAAAAATGCAAACTTTATGCTTAATTTAGAAATTATAAATGTCATGTAAGATTTTGAATATTTTGCCAAATATCCTTTTTCTCAAGTTCTTATCTGTTGCTTTGTCAAATAAATCATACTGCAACTGTAACTGAAGCAAAAGCAAATCTTAAATAGAACTTTTTCCTCCCTGTTTTACTGAGCTCTTCAGGGTATGGTTCATGTCTTTTGTACAGTGCCTAGCACAATGGGACCACAATCCTGAATGGGGCATGATTGTTGCTGTAATATAAACATAAATTACTAAATAAGTTCTGTGGGTTTTTCAGGTTGCACCTGAAGAAAAATCAAAGCGTCTCCACGTAACATCTCCATGGCAAGACTTGATGGGTATGACTAAATCTCCAGTTGGTGAGTATGACACTGAACTGTAGTTATTTAACATATTTGTTGAAAATGCAGAAAAGTGTGGTCACCTGAACATAAAGATACAACAGTTTGAATTCTTGAGGATGTATATAGGCCCATTGTTAATGTTTTACCAGAGGCATATTTTAAACATTTTTTGAAAAGGGGTTATCTCTTATAAATGAACTCAGCTCTTCTAAAATAGTCAGAGAAAAAGATACATTTAAAAACCCACCGTAATAAAGAATTTAAACATGGTCAAGTTATTACATGTTTTTGTGCGTGCTTTGTTTAGCTGGTAGCACAACACAGTCTCATGGGAGTCTTGTATTTGCAAGTAACTGCTTGTGCAGGAGCAGCGTGAAGATAATGGGCCTGATTTTTGCAGTCTTTAGGTAGGGAAAAACTTGCGTTGAAGTCTGGGGCCCTTTTGCAGAAGGGTTTACTTCTTCCATGTTGTTTTCACATCCTAACAGTTGCTATCAGACACCCAACCAAGCATACTGGTCCCTAGCATTTAAGACATAGCGGTTAGTGGGCACCTAATTGCCTTTTGTGCCTTTTGAAAACATTTCCTTTCAGTACATAGTACCCTGGGATTACAGAAAGTCCTCTTGATCCTTCTACATTTTTGGACTTAATGGGCTTCAGTTACTAAAGGTGGGACAATAAAAGTCTTGGGTAAAAACTTGGCTTTTAGGGAGAATCATTGTATTACTTTGACCAAAACTCTACATAAGGCTATGCGCTATGTTTCATTATTCAATTGAACCTTGTTAATTTACACATTTGCTTATATGCAGATGATGATTTACCCCAAAATCAGTAGTCTCTTCCTGTTTCACAATGACTTAGGAGTGAAGTGCTGCCATTTATGAATCTTTGTTACTTTTACAGTAAATACTTTAGAGCACTTTGTAACTTAGTAAGTTACTCATTATAACTTTAAGACAACATTACAATCGTCAAATGAACATAGTGAATTTTATGACACTTTTGTCTTTGCTTGCTAAGAAATTCTCATTTGCTTCCCAGTCATTATTGCAGATTTGATAAGAGGAGAGGCTCTCTTTGTCTTGGCAGTGAAAGTATTTTGCACTAAAATGCATTCACCACTGAGTGTTGTACATACTCTTGTTGCAAGAAGTCCTTTTAGGACAACTCCCACTTATGCCTCGGAAGAACTTTAAAATAGTTTGTACTCCAAGATACTTGGTATCCATTTTCTGCAGTCTGTTAATATAGCCTTGTACAAACTTTGATGAAAATTTACTAAAACATATTTGTCCAGCAACAATCCTGTAACCTGATGGGAATCGTGATGAAAAACGCTAGAGATTTCACTCATGAAAAAAGAAAACAATCTAGAATTTTACAAGGCTTTATTAACAGCATATGAAGATCAACACTATTTGAAGATCAAGAATATTTGTACACCTTCTAATATTTAAAATTAGATTTATGCTATGTAATAATACATTTTTGAAAGGTTCTAATCACTGTTGTATATAACTTTATTTGGCCTAATACACAACCAAGCTAATGGTTTTAGAAGGAGAGCAGCATCTAGAAATGCACCTCCTGCATCCAGGTCTCTCATACTATGTGTTTCTGTGTTTTCTTATTTCAGCAGATAAGATAACTGTACCCAGACATATACCTTTTCTGGAAAAAAATGAAACGGGCTATGATAGCTTCATGGAAGAGTACCAGTCTGCAAATGAAGAATGTTCCTGGAACAACGTCACACTTGCAGATTTGTATCCAGGAATGGTGGAGACACTTAGCAAGTTGATGAACAAACACTCTCAGAAAAAAGCAGCTGATTCCATAATCAGACACTACAAATACAGAGGATGGCCTCCTAGAAAATCAAAGCTTAATGTCACCATAGAAAGAATAAGAAGGTTCAGGACATCTAAATTGAAGCCTATGCTGCCTAACACAAATAGTAATGATCATAAATTGCCTGTTCGAAATAATTTAAATGAAAGTAACCAGCTTCTTCAGGATGGCAAATGTCCGACACAGTGTGTGACTAATGGTGAATCTGGTGTGGTATCTTACCCACATGTTAATACGACTGAAATGGAAATAGATTGGCCTCAAAATTTAGAAGATAATTCATACATTCAAAGAATAGACCAAAACATCTCAGATTCTGTTTTTCCAAATGTTACTGCTAGAACAGAAGAAACATTTTTAACTGAGGGTCCATCTCAGACCACCATGACATTACATGACTCAAAAGGCAGCCCAAATGGGAAGCTGCCTGAAGTACTTTCTCTGGGATGCTCTTCTGTAACTTGCACAACATCTCCTTGTCTCGTGAAAGAGAGCAAGAATGGCAAAATTGACAATATAGTTTTCGATGGTACATCAGGGTTCCACTTGTCCACTTGCAACTTGAATGGTGATGCTAATACCTTTCCACCACTTAACAGCTATTCTCTAGTAAGAACATCAAATGCATTAATCAGAAATCCTGAAATAAAAACTTTCAGGGGAGGTGTTTCACTGCAGCGCAGTCATTCTTTTTCCTCACTTCCTGTGAATCAAAGTCCAGTCAAGACTCGCCAGAAATGTGAAGAAGAATTTGAAAAACTTTACCAGAAGCTGTGCCCCAAAGAACTTCAGAAACCTCTTAAGATTAGAAAGCCTCCTTCAAACCCTAAAGAAAAAGAGAGACTAATCAAGTCCTACTTCTGTAATTCTGTAAAGTCTCATAAAAAATATGATAGTGCATTTGACGAGGTTTATCAGAGATTGTGTTCCGAAGGGTTTCCAAAACTGCCCACGTTTCTCAGAGCTTCGAACTTACGGAAATATGAAGGCATACAGATGTCAGAAACTGTAAATGCTTTAATTAACTCACCCATACGAACGTTACCTGCAGTTACCAGAATTAAAAGAGTAGCAGATTTCCACAATGAAGATCTTTTGTCTTCACCTGTAAAGAGACTGAAAAATATACCTGAAGATTTTTTTCCTAGAGCCAGTAATCAGTCTCCTCATCGAAAAAATATTAATCCTCAGACAACTGGCCTGGATTTCTCAAGTGTGATGGATGGGATTGTTCCTGGCATATTTGATGGCCCTAATTGTCAAAGTCAGTCATCTGAAAACTTTGTAAGGAGACTTTTACTCTACTATTTTGGTTGATAATGTGCAGAAGGCTAAAAAATTATAACTTTTACTACAGTCATTTTGAAAAAGATTGACTTAAAGCTTCTCTTGGACTAAGTCAATCTAAAATTTCTGCTTCAGTTTTTTGACCAGTATGGTTGAAATGCTTAAAGTGTTGTTAAGCTCATGGGCCCCCTAATCCCATTTCCCCATTTTAGGGAATATGGCCCCTAAAAATATTCAACAAAATTATTAGTTTAATCTTAGTTCATTGCAATTGAGTTTAAAAGGAATAAAATCTCAAACTATGAGCATTGTTAAATCATCTTCACAGCCCTGTGTGAGAGAGGCAGGCAGGGAAATTGAGCCGGACAAGCTAATGGCCTGGAACCATTAGAGTCCTATTAACTTCAGTGGGTTTTAAATCAGACCCTTAGTGCAGGATTCCCATTTCCTTGATCTGACCCAGGCTGTTAACTGTAACACACTTGTGTTTACTTTGATTGATTTAATTTCTCAGTGCTTCATTTTCAGGATTCTGGGTTTCATACGTCTTCAAATCACACTTTTCCGGTTAGTCCAAGTATTTTTGTGCAAGGTAAGTTTCAAAAAGCATTTTGAATTAGTTTATCAATTAGGAGGGCTTCTCTTAAGGGGAAGCCAGTAGATCTCCAACTCTTAAATTCTGCAGACCTCTTCCTAAGTGACACCCATTTTCTCCCAACAGTCCTTGGCTATGTCTCAAAATGTGTCTTTCCAGAGATCACCAAGAAGGGCTTCCTGGACCACAGCTTGAGAGTTTTTGGAGTGTTTTACTTTTTTTCTTTGGATAAGATCTGAATTTTCTTCTTAAAGTTTCATTTAATAAATACTGGTGTTTCTTCAAGTGCTTGCTCATATCAATTCCAATTAGATGTGCGCACGCCGCATGCACAGCCATCGGAGAATTTTTACCCTAGTAACACCCGGTGGGTCGGCTGTGGAACCCCCTGGAGTGGCGCCTTCATGGCGCTGGATATATACCCCTGGCAACCCAGTGCCCCCTCAGTTCCTTCTTACCGCCCGTGACGGTCGTTGGAACTGTGGAGCTTGGCTTTGCTACTCTCCACTCTCCCTAGCGTTCACCCTACAGTTTGTTCATAGTTTGTTGTTATAGTATTGTTATAGATTAACAGCTGTAGTTCTAGGTTTCAGAGTAGCAGCCGTGTTAGTCTGCATTCGCAAAAGGAAAAGGAGTACTTGTGGCACCTTAGAGACTAACAAATTTATTTGAGCATAAGCTTTCGTGAGCTACAGCTCACTTCATTGGATGCATTCATTTGTAGTTCTAGTTATAGTATAGTAGTTTGTATTAGTGGGGGAGAAGGGGTTTTCCCCTCCTTCCTGTACTTGATTGGGCTCATGCCCAAAGCTCCGGGCTTTAAGCCCTGCAGATCCTGCTCCAAGCCCATGCCAACGGGCGACTCCCACGACTCTTGTCTGAAGTGCCTGAGGGAATCTCATCAGGCGGAGAGGTGCAGGATTTGCAAGAGCTTTCGTCCCCGGACTAAGAAGGAGCGGGACTTTCGTTTGAGACAGCTCCTTATGGAGGAGGCTCTTAGTACTCAGCCTCCAGCAGCGTGACAAGACCCGGTGCCGAGCACTTCAGTACGCAGCGCCCCGGCTTTAGTTACAGGAACGGTACCGCAGTCAGACGCTGATAGAGAGCCACAGCACCGAAGTTCCCCGGCACCGCAACCAACGTCTTTAGTCCAGCACTGCTCTCACTCGCCTGGCCAGAACCTCGTTCCACAGCAGAGCGCCCAGGGACACAAGTGACGGCCTCGGCACTGTTGACTCCGGCACCGAAAACGAAGCAGTTGAGTCCAGTGTGACTGGACTCCCCGACTCGCAGCATGGTTGAGGTCCAGTTGCCATCTACACCAGATACCTTTGTGGCGGCAACGGATCTGATTGCCTTGACTGTGTCAACATCCCTTCAACTGGCCAAGGCACCGCCACCTGTCCGCATGACACCATCTAGGGGCAAACAGACTCTTATTCACCTGCCAGCACCATCGGTTGAGCCTCAGTACTGTTTCCACTCTTGGCGCCGTTCCTGCTCCCAGCGCTGTTCGCAGTCCCGGCACCACTCTCCATCGCGGCGTTGGTTGTACTCGCTGCACTGCTCCGACTCCTGGCACCGGTCTCGACACAGGAGTAGATACCGTTCCTGATGGCTGTCATCATCGTCGAGACCCAGGTCCAGATCCAGGCGCCGGTCCAGGTCCTGATACTGATCTAGGTCCAGACGCCGCTCCCCAGTGTCGTGGCACCGTTCTTCTCCATCTCGGCACCGATTGGTACAGCGAAGCTGGAGATCAGTTTCGTCTCGTCAACATGATTCAGCACAGACCCACTCGGCACCACCATGACCATTGTGTTCCACCTCTCACGCATCAGGGTCTGAGGCAGGGTCACGCTTCTCAGACTGCCACCACTTGGATCACAGCCGCCTGGGCTCGGGCAGATCAGTGGCAGGCGCAAGAACAGGGCCCCACTCAAGGGTCCACCCAGTAGCCCTTTTGGACACCTTGGGTGTACCACCAGGCCCAGGGTGCTCCCTCTGAGGCTCTCACTCAGCCCTGTCTGAGCCGCGAGTGCCTGAGGCCTCTGCCAGCTGTCCTGCTCCCAGAGGCATGGAGACGGTGGCATTGCCCTTACAGGCACCAGTTCCTCGTACTCCAGCTCCCGGCCTGAACACTGAGTTTGCGGGTCCGGAGCAGTGGGGCACAGCTCAGCAAGAGGCTCTGGATGATCCTGTCCCTTCTGTGGCATCCTCCTCATCTTCACCCGATGAGGCTGTGGCGAGGACTGCTATAACGGAGTCAGCCCCCCCATCCTTCCCCGATAGACCTCCGCGCCCACCAGGAACTCTTGCACAGGGTGGCGCGGAACATTAACCTGCAAGCACAGGAGGTGGTTGAGGTGGAGGACCCTGTGGTTGACATTTTGTCCGCAGAGGCTCATCCAAGGGCACAGCAAAGAGCAGGTGCAGGCTCACCTTCAATTCGTCACAGACACGTTGCAACAGTTAGGCCTTCTGCTTAACGTGGCGAAGTCAACACTAGAACTGACCCAGAGGATAGAATTTATCGGGGCGGTCCTCGACTCCATGCGGGCTTGAGCCCTCCTTCCAGATGCTCGCTTCCAAGCCTTGTCAGGCCTCATCAGGAGCCTTCAGATCTTCCCAACCTCGATGCCCTCTTCAAGTCTGGATGGCATCAGTCTACCGCCCAGGTCGAGACAGCCTGAACCTGGTGGTCACCATTCCGGAGGGGGTCCTGGCCTCCTTCCAGTGGTGGCTAGACCCAAGGGCAGTCGGCGGAGGAGGCCCCTTCGACACTCAGCCTTCCTTGTCCCTCATCACGGACGCGTCAGTCCTGGGATGGGGCGCCCGCCTCGGGGACCTCCAGACGCAAGGTCTATGGGCCCCGTCCGATCTCTCTCTTCATATCAACGTACGGGAGCTGATGGCGGTGTGTCTTGCGTGCCAAGCCTTTTGGGAGCAGTTGCATGGTTGTTGCATGGCGTTCGTCACAGACAACACCATGGCCATATTCTACATCAACAAGTTGGGCGGGGGAGCCTCATTTCTTCCCCCTCTGTCAAGGGGCCATTCGACTGTGGAAATTCTGCATAGCCCACTCCATTCACCTGATGGCGTCGTTTCTCCCAGGGGTCCAGAACATGTTGGCGGACCACCTCAGCAGGTCCTTCCAATCCCACGACTGGTCACTCCGCCCCAATGTCATCCACTCCATCTTCCTAAAGTGGGGGTTTCCCCAGGCTGACCTGTTTGCCTCATGCAGCAACCAGAAATGCCTGGCATTTTGCTCCCTTCACGGCCGCTCCCCGGGCTCTCTCACAGATGCCTTCCTACTCCTGTAGACTAGCAGGTTGTTTTACGCCTTCCCGCTGTTTCCCCTTGTACACAAGGTCTTGCTCAAGGTGTGCAGGGACAGATCATGACTGATTCTGGTTGCCCGGGCGTGGCCCAGGCAGCATTGGTACACCACACTGTTGGAGATTTCGGTGGACGCCTCAGTTCTGCTGTCTTTTTTTCCGGACCTGATCACTCAGGATCACGGCTGCCTCTGTCACCCCAACTAACAATCCCTCCACCTCACGGCATGGATGCTGCATGGCTGAGCCACTCTGAGCTACTCTGCTCTCATTTAGTACAGCAGGATGGGTAGCAGGAAACCTTCCACTCGGGCCTCATATATGGCTAAATGGAAACGATTCTCATGCTGGTGCACTCACCACAGCACACCCCCCTCCTCCCCTCCCCAGGCGTCCATGCCTCTCATTTTGGACTGTCTCCTGAGCCTGAAACAGCAGGGCCTGGCGATATCATCCATTAGTGTCCACCTGGCGGCCATTTCAGCTTTCCACCCGGGAGCGAATGGCCGATCTGTCTTTGCCAATTCCACGGTCAGTATGTGCCTTGAGGGCCTGGACCGTCTCTACTCACAGGTATGACAGCCAGTCCCCAGGACCTGAATCTGGTCTTCTCCAGGCTCAATTGGGACCCGGTTCGAGCCGTTGGCCACCTGTTCCCTCCTGTACCTCTCTTGGAAAACGGCTTTCCTCGTCGCTATCACATCAGTAAGGCGTGTATCTGAGCTCAGGGCTCTTACCTCAGAACCACCATACACGATCTTCCGTAAGGACAAGGTGCAGCTATGATCTCACCTGGCCTTTCTTCCCAAGGTGGTATCCACCTTTCATATCAACAAGGACATTTTTCCTCCCAGTTTTTTACCCAAAACGCACGCTTCTCTTCAGGAACAACGGCTACATCCCCTAGATGTTCGTAGGGCCCTGGCCTTCTACACTGAGTGTACAAAGCCGTTCAGGAAAACGACCCAGCTCTTCGTCGCAGTGGTGGAATGGATGAAGGGCCTCCCGGTCTCCTCCCAGCGGATCTCCTCTTGGATCACTTCCTGTGTCCGTGCTTGCTACGATCTGGCTGGTGTTTTGACCCTGCCACTCACCGCTCACTCTACAAGGGCTCAGGCCTCAGCGGCAACTTTCCTGGCCCAGGTCCCAATCCAGGAGATCTGCAGAGCTGTTACTTGGTCTTCGGTATATACTTTTACCACTCACTATGTCATCGTCTGAAAAGCCAGAGACGATGCGACGTTTGGTAGAGCAGTCCTACAATCCACAGTACTTCACTCCGACCCCACCGCCTAGGTAAGGCTTGGGAGTCACCTAATTGGAATCAATATGAGCAAGCACTCGAAAAGAAGACAGTTACTCATTTTTTTTAACCGTTGTTCTTCGAGATGTGTTGCCCATATCTATTCCAAACCCGCCCTCCTTCCCCTCCATCGGAGTAGCCGGCAAGAAGGAGCTGAGGGGGCGTTGGATCGGCTGGGGTATATATCTAGCACTGTGAAGGCGCCACTCTAGGGGGCTCCACGGCTGACCCGCCAGGAGGTGCTAGGGTAAAAATTCTCTGGCCGTGCACACGGCGCGCACACACCTAATTGGAACGAATGAGCAACACCTCTCGAAGAACAACAATTACAAAGGTGAGTAACCGTCTTTTTTCCTGCTCCCCTTCTCTGCTGTATTGCTAATACCATACATAGCTAATATCCGTTAATGTGTAGTAGAGAAGTTGCTGATTAGTTAATCATGTTTTCAAGAACTAAAAGTTTTTACCACCACTCTTGGGGAGTTCCTGCTTCCAGCTCTACAAAACTTGTGGTTACACAGTAACAAGATTACAAATATGTCCTAGGTCAGGTCTACAGTACAGACTTATATTGGTATAACTATATCTCTCAGGGATGTAAAAATCCACAGTCCTGGACGACGTAGTTATATCAACCTAACCTTCAGTGTAGACAGCGCTATGTCAGCAGAGAGCCTGTCCTATTGACATAGACACTGTCTCTCACAGAGGTGTATTTATAATGGGGATGAGAGAAGCTCTCCCAACAGCATAGGAGCATCTTTCCTTAAGCGGTGCAGTTGCATCGGTGCATTGTAAGTGTAGATCTTCCTTGGGAGGACTTAAGCTAAATTCAAGTGCTGCCACTAAGTCAGCAAGAGGATTTGCTCAAGTTCTGAATTTGAAAAATTAAACTGGTTTGAGATTAGATAGGCACAAACTCCCAGGGCCTATAAAATTCCTAATCTTTGTAGTTACCATCATAAAGAGTTACAGAGAATTGTAAATCTGAAGCTTGATATTTAAAATAAGCTACTTCAGATACAGCAGCACCTGCTCAGGAGTTCTCATAGTTAAAGTTGTCAGTGTTTCCAATTTAATACATTATTTTCAGGTCCATCTAAATTGGCCATAAAATCTCCATGCTGAAGCTTATGGGGACACAGTAAACTTGAAAAATCTCATTACTCTTTGGAGGTGTTATACATCCACTTGTGGCAAGAAGTACATAAGAGAAGCTGAAAGTGATTCAAGATTTTTTTTTTCTGTTTCCTCAGCTTTTTTTACTTTGTGCATTTTGACAGCACTGTGTTTATTCACTTTCTTGGTTCTGTTATTGGTGAGTTGTCATTAGCATGTCATCACTTTTGCATTGCTCTTGTGGGGAACATGTATGCCTCTCCTTAGTGCCTGTAAGGGGGCATTTACTTTTTACCAGAAACACAAGAGAAGAGCTTCTGCTGTTTCTAAGTTTGGTGCCAGGAGAGTATACCTGTTCCCTGGGAGCCCTGTGTAGGCAAGAGGCAAAAAGGGATAGCCAGGGGGACCTCCTCCTTCCCTTCGCAGACCATTTTGTATGTGGCTGGGGGTGCAGACAGGAAAGTTGTTCTTCCTTTCCCAAACTATAGTATAGAGAAGGGAGCAGTGGGAGCTAGGAGAGGGATTTTTTTACTCTTTGGGACTTCTCTAGAGTTCAGAGGTTGGGAGGTCTTGCTTCAGTGCTGCTGAAGCTGGCATGCTGTCAGTAGTGTAAACAAAAGCAAGAGACAGGTGGGAAATGGGCAGACCCAAACACATTTAATGGGGGTGCTGGCCTTCTCCTTTGATGAAGACCTTTATAAACATCAGCAGGGGTTGGGGAAAGCCCTTAAGACTTTTAAAGAAGCCATTGTAAGGGGAAAGAATTTTCTGGTCAGTCTTTCTTGCTCAAATTTAGTCAAGCAAAATTTTTCAGGTTATCCATAATGTATTAACTATATTGGCAAAAGCTCAGTTTTGCCAGTATAAACTGAATCTGTACTAGGCATGCTTTGCCACTAGGTACACTGATACCAGCAAAGCTCTCCTAGGTTTAGAGTAAGCTAAATCTGTACAACTGCTCACCTAGATTGGTATGATCAACATAATTAGAATAATAAAATTTCACACTTTTGGGGAACACATCTTTTTCCAGAGCTTACCCTTTGGCAAAAAGCTTGACGGAGATCCAGCCTCTGGTCTCAAAGGACGTGTCATTTACCTCTGCTATCACTTCTCTCTTGTCATCCTTGCCTTACATCCCTGGAATCTCCTAGAGATAACTTTTTGGTTACTCAGATCTACCTTCTGTGATTTCTGAACTACGTGTTTACATAAATATCCTCTCCAAGGAGGATCCATTCTGGGGTTCCCAAAAAATGATGCACTTGATATATAGGGATGAATAATTTCAATCATATAAGAGGAAAAGTGGAAAATAATATGTAAACAGACTTGACTTTCTTTTCTTTAAAGTTGTCACCCTGATCTGCTTGTTAAAAGTGACAGTATCAGATAACCTCACAGGAAAGTTTCATCTCTACTTTCTGTAAACTTATCTAGCCTATCTCCATGCCACTGCAGAGTTTTATTTCCTGTTATGCACTTCTGTTGTTTAGCATAGTTAGTCCTTGCATCTCCCAGGTGATGGAGCTTCCACCACCTCTGTGGGTCAGGATTCTTCAATCTAAATAGCTTTTGTTGTCAGGAAGGTTGTTTCCCTCTGATATTCAACCAAAATGTTGACATTTTTATTATATACTGTCTTTGTTATAGATACTCCCCTGTATCTGTGGTATGTTTATACTATTTAAATATTTAGTCGCTCACTACTATGTTCCAGTCCATACCTAATTAAAGAGTCACTGCCAAACTATAAGTATTGAACTGTCTTAATCATTCTTTATAAATCAATCACAGTCGCCCCCCAGTCGTTTCTTGTTGCTGTTCCTTAAGTTCTGTCCAGTTAGTATAGGTCTAGTAATGAGTAGAGCCCTTCAAATCTGCAGATATCCGCTTAATATCCATATACGTGGACCATTTTTACAGATCGCAGATAGATGCGAATCCAAATTTTGCATTTGCACAGTGCTCTAATTAATGAGACCCAGAATCGAGTGCAGTATTCCACGTCTGATGACATACAAGCGATATGGAAGAGGGACTGTTAACTTTCTACTCTGATGTGATGTTTCTATGTAAGGAAATTGCACTAGCTTTTTTTCCTACAAGGTAGCATTGCAAACGTGTATCTAATTTATCTACTGTCATCAGTTTCAGTGTTTCTGTTTGATAAGTTTCTCACTCTCACTGAACATTTGTGTTCTGAATTATTTTCCCCAGATATATGAATGGACACTGTCAAATTTAACTTCATTTTTAAAAGTTAGTTTTTCTGTTACACTAGGATCTTTTCAGCAAGGGAAGAACTAACTCAATATGCAGGGGAAATGGTGACAGACTACATAAAACAATCTCAAATGCAATAGTTAACAGACTGGAAAAAATACACTTTTTTGTTAATGCCTTACAGTTTTAATAATCTCTGTTTCTGGTAAGTATAGTAGATACAGATTCTTCAGAAATAAGGCTTTTTTCATGTTCACTATTTCTTTTAGGTCTCATTTTTCCAAGATGAGTCTCATTTTATTGTTTGCTCTGAGTTGTTAACCTCTTATATCCCTCTGTATTATTTCTCTTAACTGATATTCACAGCTCCCTACAATGCCTTTCTGTGATCCTAAATCTAATTGCAAGATATTTCCATCCTTTTCTAATGCTGATAAATTATAAGGTCTTCAAAGGAAATTAGTTATACACTTAAGTAAGTTCACTGTTATAAAGTACAAATTGTATTTGAAATTAAATTTGGCCAGAGGCTTTCACGTAAAGAACGTTCATTATACTTCACAGATGGAAGTAAGTTGTTGCTTTCTTTTAATACTTAGAACTGCTGCTCTGAGCTTGCTCCTAAGGTCAGAATAGTCCAATATTTTAACATACAGTACTGGATAGAGTGCTCACTGTGGTACTTAACCTTATGACCCCATTAATTTTATCACCAGAATCCAGGATTGCAAATATCTATGCAAGTATCCCTAGGACATTGCAAAATAATGGCTCATCCAGAAGTGCACAAAAATATTAACAAAGGCAAGTGACTTTTCAGTAGTTACAAAAATAGCAGCAAAATAAGTTGTTTTTTTTCCTTTTTCCTTTTTTTTTTTTTTTTTTAAGAAAAGGTTTACAAATGTGCTGTACTCCTTATTTTTAATTTTCTTCATGTGGTGATTTGGGGGACTGTGGGGGCCTTCATATAGGTTATGGACTTTCAACAAAAAATGACTGCAGTTAATCACTGAATTGATAACACTACATTACTCTTCGTAAAAACCTATATTTTTAGGATCCATGTGTCGCAGACTTTTTGTAATATATCATATCATGGGACTTTTTTACATTAAGTTTTTAAAGGCTGTAGTTAGTCTGTATACATGATAGAGGAATACATTATTTAAATATATGTGCACATGTATAGAATATGTAATAAAGTATGAAACATAACAGACCATCTCTTCTGCCTTATCCATATATAGAAAGAGCACTAACGTTACAATCTACAGATTGACTTGACATCCACAAGTATTTTTAAACATACCACAAAATTTACTTCTCTTCTCATCACGTGTCCTTCCCTAAATCCTATCCTCCCTCCCAAAAAAATTACTTTTCTGAGACCCAGGATTAATAACTTTAGTACATTGACAGGTTCAGGTTTGGATATCTTGTGGCGCACTAAGGCTAGAAACAGGTATGATGTTATCTACCATTGGAAATGGGAGACTTCCAGCTTTCCAGTGGACAAATATTTTTAATTTGTGATTTTTGTTTAGAAAGAAAATATTAAGCTACCAGATTTCTGAAACTTCAGCTCCCTCAGAGTCTTGTTCTTGTAGACTCATAACTAATCCAGCTTTATAGGCAACAGAATAGATAATACAATAAATTTGTTCGTCTCTAAGGTGCCACAAGTACTCCTTTTCTTTTTGCGGATACAGACTAACACGGCTGCTACTCTGAAAACAATACAGTAGTATAATTTTTCAAAAAAATTATACAGTAGTATAATTTCAAAAACAATTTCTCTAACACATGATGTGTACAGAAAATGTAGTAGGCTGGTCATGTGTGTGTGTGTTTCTGCAGTTTCATCTCCACTCCTGCTTAAGTTGTTTGCTCTTTTCATTTTCTTTTTTAATTAAAGTATGGAATCTCTCTCTGGTTAAGGCCTTTCATTTCTATATGAGATTAAAAAATAGTTGATTTAGTGGATGATCTTGAGCAAGCTAATGGGTAGGTGAACTTTCTGTGAGCTTTGCTTGAGCTTGCTCCTGTAAATATTTTTTATTACATCTTTACTCAGTTTCTTAATTCATGCTTTTTTCTTCCCTCTGCTATAAATGGAAACCTCTCCCTATGATATGGGCAAGTTGTTTCCAGCCAGAAACTTTTTTTTCTTCGTGCATACAGGTAACAGGCTTCATGTGAAAAGCATTAGTGAGTGTTCGATTGCTAACTTATCTGGAATAGAAAATGTGTTCCTTAATTGCAAATCAGTGATTATGCATTTGTGTAACCTGAATTAAGACTCAGCTGGAGAGTTTGCTCAGTCTAGCACTATGATAGCTTTAGAGGTCCAAGAGATGACTGCAGTAAACATCCTGAAAATGGAACTTGTGCTGAGTGGTTTTGAAGTCTTCAGAAATCTTAGTCAAGTAGATAGTGAAGCTGCTGTATGTTCTAATGAACAGCTGGGAAAGAACCAGCTAAGTCCTCTTGTGTCTGTAACGACTTTGGATTTGGCAACTTCTAGCAAGAAGCTAATTATAAAAGATGAATTTCAGAGAAGGAAAGGTCAAAAACAGATTTATTATAGATCTGTTATGAATTGTTGCCTCACACTGTATTGGGATGGACCACTTGAGGGTGTGATCACAGAGCAGATTAGTTTACAACAAATCTAAATAACAAGCTGCCAATCCTTCAGTTCCTGAGGGGGAAAATGAAAAGTAGAGCAGTAGATGAATTCTGTATAGATGTATTTGCTTCAGTGGAGCAAAACTTTACATTTATGTTTGTACACATGCAGTAGATTAGGTTAAAATAGATTTCATTTAATTTATTCATATTATTTAGGCATTAATATAATGAAAAAATAAAGGATTTTCGACAGTTGGGTGGATGTGGGAATTCCTGTATTAGGCCTATTGCATTTTGCCATTAATATTTTAAGGTGACTAGATTCTCTGCTTTGGCATTCAACTTCTGTTCTGTTCTGTTCTGTTGGAGATTCAGCTAGCATGGATGCTTTTTAATTACCAAAAAGAAAAGGAGTACTTGTGGCACCTTAGAGACTAACCAATTTATTTGAGCATGAGCTTTCGTGAGCTACAGCTCACTTCATCGGATGCATACCGTGGAAACTGCAGCAGACTTTATATACACACAGAAATCATGAAACAATACCTCCTCCCACCCCACTGTCCTGCTGGTAATAGCTTATCTAAAGTGATCATCAGGTGGGCCATTTCCAGCACAAATCCAGGTTTTCTCACCCTCCACCCCCCCACACAAATTCACTCTCCTGCTGGTGATAGCCCATCCAAAGTGACAATGGGCTATCACCAGCAGGAGAGTGAATTTGTGTGGGGGGGTGGAGGGTGAGAAAACCTGGATTTGTGCTGGAAATGGCCCACCTGATGATCACTTTAGATAAGCTATTACCAGCAGGACAGTGGGGTGGGAGGAGGTATTGTTTCATATTCTCTGTGTATATATAAAGTCTGCTGCAGTTTCCACGGTATGCATCCGATGAAGTGAGCTGTAGCTCACAAAAGCTCATGCTCAAATAAATTGGTTAGTCTCTAAGGTGCCACAAGTACTCCTTTTCTTTTTGTGAATACAGACTAACACGGCTGTTGCTCTGAAACCTTTTAATTACCAGTAACTTATGATCTAAAATTCTTTTCCAGGGTATCCAGAAAACTCAGCTACAATAATGGGAGAGAGAAAAGCTCAGGCGTTCTTTTGGGAAGACTTCATCGCTAAAGATACGCAAGGAGCATTTCTGGAAGGCTACAGAGAAAATATTATTTTATAAATTTGTAAAGACATCAAAGACATTTTAATTAACCATTGCAATCTGAAAATTGCATTTATTGATAGGGAGGGAGCTGAGGAATAGTGCTCTAGTATATAGTTAGTCCTGCTATGTACTTTCCCTCTCATCCAAAATAATTCCTTGGAGACCAGCTTTGCCTTCAGCCAAGGTGGGCAGGGCACCTTTCCTTAATGAGGAGTCATTCATTTGGCCCCAGAAGTCCACTGGAGGGAATCAAGATTCCTTCTTTGGTCTGAGTTATTTGTTTAACTTTTATATTTAGTAGTGTTCGTCGTAATAGATGCTTGTGATTTGCATTTTTTTCTGTTTCCTTATAGACATGGATTTTAATATGCTAATAATAATTTACCTTGGCTTTGTATTCGACCAGAATTCCTAGCCTCTCCTGTCCACCCCTGCTTTATATATGCACGTTATTAGGCTCCTAGAAACACTGGTCTGGAAGGTTCAAATGCAGTATAATGTATTATGACTTTGTAATGTGGCTGTAATATCAGATTTGAGGTTTTAATGTTTAATTTTCAATGTACTTCATCATAAATCTTAATTGCTTAATAAATTTTTTATACATTATTGGATTTGGCAGTTTTTTATAAAATTTAATAGATGATAAATGTTTTACTAATTTTTGGGCTGTCAAGCGATTAAAAAACTTAATCACGATTAATCACTTCATTGAAAAAATCAATTGCACTGTTAATAATAGAATACCATTTATTTAAATATTTTTGGATGTTTTCTACATTTTTAAATATGTTGATTTCAATTACAACACAGTATACAAAGTGTACACTGCTCGATAACAATCTAAAGCAGAGCAGACTGACACATGTTCATTTTCATCATCTGAGTCAGATGCCACCAGCAAAAGGTTAATTTTTCTTTTTTGGTGGTTCAGCTCTGTCGTTTCTGCAATGGAGTGTTGCTCTTTTAAGACTTCTGAAAGCATGCTGCACACCTCGTCCCTCTCAGATTTTGGAAGGCACTTCAGATTCTTAAACCTTGGGTCGAATGCTCTAGCTATCTTTAGAAATCTCACATTGGTACCTTCTTTATGTCTTGTGAAATCTGCAGTGAAAGTGTTCTTAAAATGAACAACATGTGCTGGGTCATCATCCGAGACTGCTATAACAAAATATATGGCAGAATGCGGGTAACACACAGCAGGAGACATACAATTCTCCCCCTGAGGAGTTCATTCACAAATTTAATTAGCACATTATTTTTTTAATGAGCGTCATCAGCATGGAATCATGTCCTCTGGAACGGTGGCCGAAGCATGAAGGGGCATACGAATGGTTAGCGTATCTGGCATGTAAATACCTTCCAATGCCAGCTACAAAAGTGCCATGCGAATGGCTGTTCTCACTTTCAGGTGACATTGTAAATAAGAAGTAGGCAGCATTATCTCCCATAAATGTAAACAAACTTGTTTGTCTTAGCAATTGGCTGAACAAGAAATAGGGCTGAGTGGACTTGTAGGCTCTGAAGTTTTGCATTGTTTTGTTTTTGAATGCAGTTATGTAATCAAAATTTACCTTTATAAGTTGTGTTTTCATAATAAAGAGATTGCACTACAGGACTTGTCTGAGGTGAACTGAAAAATTTCTTTTATGATTTTTACAGTGCACATATTTGTAATAAAAATCAAGTGAGCAGTGTACACTTTGTATTCTGTGTCATAATTGAAATCAATAGATTTGAAAATATAGAAAACATTCCAAAAAATGTAATAAATTTCAATTGGCATTCTATTGTTTAACAGTGCGATTAAACTGCAATTAATCATTATTAATTTTTTTAATTGCGATTAACTTTTTTGAGTTAATCGTGTGAGTTAACTGTGATTAATCGACAGCACTACTAAATATAAACTTGGTGTAGCAATTTCATCGTTCCCAGTCTTACCAATGACAATTTCATCATGATAATGTAATGTAATAAGGGATCACATACTCTAAAGCACAAAAAAA